TTTTCACTGCTGGGCACTGTTACACATACTCAGCAAATGAGCTAGGTAATCTCAAACCAAATAAAGAGCAGCAGCTTGGAGAAAGAGTAATTTCTTGACAGCCACTGTGTACAGTTCTTACTTTAAATTCAGAAGAGCAGAACGCACCATATGCACCAAAACGTTCACCTTACCTTTTGAAAAGCTACCGTGAAACATACTGAAGAAATTATTTTAAACATCCTTCCAGCTTTTCACAAAGAGATGAGACTTAAGAATGGGACTGACTGCTGTAGAGAGCGTTTTTCTAGACCCAGTATATAGAGAAAGCAGAGGACTGGACCTGTAATATGTATCTATCTTTTTAACTGGTAAACGCATACACTCATGCTGCTTACAGCCGGAAAAATCCCACACAGCATTCTTAGTAAAAATCATCATACTATTCAAAGCCTTCGTATTGCAAACACACAAATCCAGAAATTCCTTTCGTCAAATATCTCTCTAAAACCTTAATTTTACATTCAGCAAAATGTAAGTGCATAATCTGAAAAGCATCATAATATTTCAAACAACTTTAAAGGCATTTAAAAGCACTCCTATATTCAGAATGAATTTAAAACATATATAGTATTTTGATAAATTTTACAGTACTGCTGACATATATTTTCTGAAGTTGATTTTATAAACCAGATTCTGCCGTCTCTACTCAGATAAAATCATATTCAACTAGATTTTAAGATTTTGCAGTGACAAAAAAAAATCTACTTTTTAGAAGCAGTTATAAAGTTGACAGTAGAGAAATACAAAGTGGAAAAAAGAGATTTCTCACACAATAGTTTTCACTTAATAAAGCATACTTAATAGAATAGAAAGATAAGAGAAATAGGACAGTTTCTGCAACTATTGACAACAAATGAAAACAGATGAGCAATTCAATCCTCATATTGACCATAAAAGTAGTCATTTCTCGGCAATTTTCCATTTATTGCTAGCTTTTCTGTTATTGTTTTACACTGACTCTTATTAAAGAAACTGCTAGAACAGATAAACTGAAAATTAGACAGCATCTAATGGCATTAAGAACACTAAAAAACTCTTCCATTATGCATCCTTTTTGCCTGATCTTGTGTGCACGCTTCCTTTTCTTACTCTTTATTATTAAGTAGATTTAATTCTTGTTAGTGAATTCATTCATGCCTATTGCTTGTTTCCTATTAGAATTTTAAATCCAACTTAGTTTGCTACTAAACATTTTTCATCACAATCAAGTATGCCCAAAAAATTATAGACCAAATGCACTCCTTGTCATTATGTGACCCTCTCTTCATCACTGTTATCACTGTGACATAAAGCCCCTTTTTAACTTTATCATAGTTTCCATTAGGATTATAGATGCAAAACTGAAAAGTGGAAACTCTTGAAGGATGGACAGTATAAAAGCTGCTCAAGAAACTTCTAGTACTAATGACCTTATAACAAGTATGCGAGGAAAAAAAACAAGCAAAAAAAAAAAGCCCAACACAAACCAAACAACAAACAAAAACACATAAACAGGCATTCTCCAGCACAAATACTGAGATATTTCTATAGCTATCTTTCCTTTTTTTTTTAATTATTATTATTTGAAGAATGCCCTAAATGTTTCCTTCTTCCCATCTGTTTTCCCTAGAATCCCTTTGGCCACTAATGAAGGAAAAAACCTACTTTCCCTGACTACAGATACCAAAATCCAATCCTAAATTACAGATCATCTGCATAAATGCCACTGTTAAAATTATATTTGCTGCCAAGAACATTTGCTGCTTACAAGGTCTTCAAAGTGATACCAAATCAATTAAGCTTACTCGAAATACGTGGAACTCAGGTACCAATCTGTTTTTACACGAAACAAGCTTTGGACTGATGAAAAGTACCAGAAACCTTTCCCAAAATGCTGAGCTGGCCTGTTTTCCAATTTAGCTAAAGAAGCTAAAGATATCTTAGTTTGTCCAACTTGTTATAGTACTTGGAACCTGTACAATTAGAATCCATACATATAAAAGTGATTAATGCTTTATAAATGTCAGAAGAAGACACACAAACCAAGCTGATTAAAACATCTGTGTATTATTTGGTAATTATCATATACACCATTTCAAAATAGTTTGTGCTATCAAACATCAAGTTCATGTGTACTGTCAATTTCTTCAGTAAAGCCACATGTAACAAAGAATGAATACTCTGTCATAATTTTTTCCATCACAGTTTGACCACAAAGTTTGGCAGCACATTGGTATACTAAGTAATTAATATTAATACAGACAATACTATTTGACTTTACTGCAAACTAATGAAGGTGTAGGATTTTATTAGTAAGAATTCACACAATAGGCACATGTTAGAGGAATTAATCATTCACTCCTGCAGACTGCTTATATATTTCATCAGGCTATTATCTGATCTGAATAACAAGAACAATTGCATAATAAAAACACATCACTGCTGACACATGCAACTTTATTCTATCAACTTTACATATTCACAGCAAGAGGGCTGTTTAAAGTCCTCTGCTGTTTGCTTCTTCTGAATTAGACTGACCTGATTCAACACTATCCTGTACCAACAATTATGATCAAGACTGTATATACATATAAGATCAAATATAGTATGTATGAAACTTAACTGCCACAATGCAACTCGGGTCATTCCACACAGTAGCAAGTAGTTATTACAGCAAAAGTGGAGTATGTGTCAAGTAATTTTTCATATAGATACTGAAGTATTGACAGGTGATATCCCAGATTTAAAGAAAATCAGAAAGACAAATAATGAAGACTACATTTCAAAATAATAAAACCATTAAGTATGTATAGTTCCAGTTGCATAACGTCAATGTAGTTCCTATCTGATTAGTCACATATATTTTAACCTTTTTTCTTTAAAAAACTGACACTTTGTTAGGCATTCAACACTGCACACTTCATGTTTGGGATCACCTAGCAGAATATAACCTAAAAATCTTAACCTAATACGCTTCTCTGTATGCAGTCTCAGAACAGTTCATGGAAATTATCTGGATATAGACTTTTAATGCTCTGCTCGCAGGCAGTAAGTACAACACAGCAATGAGTCATGTCAAATGTTACCTTCTCAAAAAAAAAAAAAATCAAACAAGAAATAGCAAGGCTGTTTTTTTAACTGACATACATTTATAGTACTAAAACAGCAACAATAGGATTTCTTAATAAGCCAGAAGATGTGTTACTCTTTTATTTCAAGTTCATAAGTTCATTTGGTATTTTTTCCTATCATAAATGTTACTGTCCATTACCCAAAGAGTACTGCAATATGATATGAAAGTCACCCTGATTCACTACCTCAGAACTTGCAGCAGTCCATGCTTTGTAATTTTTCTTAGCTTTCAGATTATGAATACCTGAAAGCACCTTTGAATGTCATCCTCCTGCTACTGCAGATTTAGCCTTTCCTGCTCTTGGCACATAAATTTCCTAAACAAATTTTGTCCAATTACCTTTACTGTTGTGACATAAACTAATTTCTTTACTTCACACAGAAAAGCATTTAATTTGACCCTAATAAACTTTCACTCCTGGTGACATTCATTAGTTGTAATTGATTTTGAATTACACCTGAAAATGCAACATTAATTTTATACTGAGTTGCTTAATAAAATACACTTGTAAATGCATGTTTAATGGCTTCTAAGGACACAAGTGAATTCTGAGGAAATGAACAGTAAAAACATCATACATTAGAGACTTGAACTGCACAGTTTATTTACTTCTTTATTATTTGAAATTTGTACTGTAAACTAATCCAAATTTGTCAGGAATTTCTAAAGAAGTTTAATTTATTCAAAACTGTATTATCCCTACATCATATAAAATATCACATGAAGAATTTAAATCCAAGTGCATTTGGCAGGAATAGAAAAAAAATGCTGAAATGCTATTGATTCCTTCCAGTACATTCAAAACACCTGACTCAACTATATTACTACTGACATAACACAAAGATTTTATTTAGATATTAGCAAACATGAGCAATTATTTTCATTGATATACTTTTCATTCTTATTTCTTCCCTCCACCTAGGAAACAGTTAACCCTGAACTACTAGTAATAGCTGTTTCCTCTACCAGAGATGTGGCAAATGTCAATGAGTCCACTGTCCTATGAGAAATAATGCCTCCAAAAGTTATCCTCCCCAGATGCAGATATATTTAGTGCTAAACACCTAACAGCAGACTCTTCATGACACACCTTTACCTGATCTTTGTACCTTCTGTCAACTCCACAGCCCTGCCAACAAACCTGTCACATTATTCATGAAGCCCTCTTAAATATTTTTGCTTACCCTAGATCTTTCTCACCTATTTAGAAATGTGTTGTCAGTACTTTTGAATATGTTCCTTACAAGCACTTTTAAAGCAAAGCTGTTGTCTGTAACTGCCATCCTCATTAGAAAAAAAAAAAATACATTCTATAGATGAAAAACTTCATGAAAAATCTAATAACTTTAGACACTTGGATGAAAAAATGCTGACAACTGAATCCAGCCAAAACACTGTTAGTATGTATAATCCATGCACATTTTATAATAAAGTGAACGCCCTGCCACCTGGCACTACTTAGCAGGTCACACTGTGCTCTAGACCTCTCCTGAGGGAGCGTCTCTTTGTTTAGGTTTTGTCTGTAATCTAGCACATACCTACACTCCCACTAAGGTAGACATTACACAATATTTGACACCCTCAGGTTCTTTACACAAGTATTCACCTGCAATTTTCTTTCCTCATAAAAGATAAGCAAACCACTTTCCTGCACTTTTCCCACTGAAAGCAGTTTAAGTTACCACAGCCAAGCTTCTCTCTGACCAAAACAGTGTGATTTACAAGCAGAAACGCACACACATACCCACACACATACGTATATATATAAAGATGTATATGCTAAGAAAACGTTTGGAAAAGCAGGAGAGCATAGGGACAGAAACCAAGCACGGAGTATTTTACTTACTAATGCTGTCCGTTCGGACCTCTTCGGAAACCTGAAGAGTCTCCGCTTTCCCCTCCTGCCAGTCAGGCGCCGCGTTGTGCCCCTAGTCCACAAAGGCCCAGATGGAACTGCAAAGAGAGAGAAGCACATGCCACACCAGGCAGTTCTGTTTTAGTGGGATCCAGCGCTGCTGCCACTAGCTGCTTGGGGGTACCCCGCTTTCAGACCAGACTCTGAAAAAGAGTCATCCTTCCCAAATTTTTTTTTTCTTTTAGCAGCAATTAAAAAAAAAAAAAAAAGGAAAAAAAAAGCCTTCCCGAGACTCTTGCACCCTAAAATTTGAGGGGGGAGGGGGAGAGGGGAGAGGAAAGGTACCTGCAACTCTCTCCGACGAGGCCAGCAGAGAGATAGTGAGGGAGGGAGGAAAAGAGCGACGAGGAGAGGGAGGAGGGAGGGAGCGAGGGGTGGAGAGGAGGGGGGTGTGGGTGCGTGTGTCTGTGCGAGTGCGGGGGGCGTTGAAGCGCCTGTCGTGGGGGGCGCCGCAGCCTACCGCTCTTCGAGCCCAGCACCACTGGCTGCAGGCGGGCTGGGACGGGCAGGGCTGGGCCGGGGCGCACTCCCCACCGGGCCCCCCGCAGCCCCCGCCGCCGCTCAGCCCGCTCACCTGCATTTCCTTAACGAGCCACTTGATGGCCAGCAGCAACGGCGGCCCCGTGGCTCCGCCGCAACTTTGGCGGCCTCGGAGCCACGCCGCTCGCGCGGAGCTGGCGATGGGGAGGTGCCGGTCGCGGAGTGCCGCTCCGGCCGGGGACCGCACCGTCAGCCACCCGCGGAACTTTCCGTCCGGTGGCGGCTCTGCGGGTCTTGGGGCCTGGGGGGGGGGAGGGGGAGCGAGGGGTGGAGGCTACGCTGAGCCCCGCGTTTGCGCGCCGTCAGCCGCGCAGCAACGAGACCGGTAGCGGGGCATGCTCCGCCGTCCGCCTCACCCCGAGCTGCCTCCTCCCACCGCGCTCCCCAGCGTGTGCGAAGAGAGTGAATAAGCGAGCTTGTCGCTATTAATAATGATAAGCCCTGTCCCCACCTTCCTTTTCTCCCTGGGAAAACAATTAATAATGCATTAAAATAATGCACCTGTAAAGCACCGGCTGGCAATAATGAAATAACAATATTACCACCACTTAAAGAGAGCGCTGCTGTGGATGTGGTGGCGAGGCACGTTTCCCTATTATTCACACCCAAGTGTGAGCATAAATTCTGCTTCTGGTATCAACGTCCCTTTTCCCTACCAGAGCAATCATCATTATCATCATCAAAGTCTCTCTCTAAAGCTGAGAGGAGACGCTGAGTCCCCGGGTGGCTGCTGTGGCTGGGCTGCGAGGAGGACATACCTCTCCTCCCCCCTTCTGTTCGCCCCAAACCAATCTCTTCGTTTTTCCTCTCTCGCTTGTACCGGTGAGTTAAGCATTGCGTTTGGCCCTTTTAGTATTTTCCCTTCCGTTCCTCCCCTGACGATAGTTTGTGTATTTTAAATAAAGATTTCATTCTGCCAACCCGCAGGAAGCTTTTAACAAGATGCAGCTGAGCGTGTCGATATCTTATATCTTTTTACTGCTGTTCCGGCGTGTACATCAACTCCAAACTCATTTCTTTTCTTCTCCGCCCAATACTGTAGCATCTCAGAGACGGCGGCGGCAGTAGCAGCAGAGCGCTGCTCCCGGGAGGCACTTTTACTTTGCCCTCAAAGTATCTCCCAGCAATGATACCCGGCGGAACCCCCCCCACCCCCCTGCCCCTTCCCTGCAGCCAGCTGCTGGGGTGGTTGCTCTTAAGATTTCCAGTTCCACACAGCCTGAGAGCGGGGGGGAGGGGGATCGTCTTTTTGTTTAGCATGCAGTTTTGTGTGTCTGCTATTTTTAAGTAAGATTTTTCCAGAAATAGATACCATCGAGATTTAATTTACGAAGCTATCTCTAACGATGCTCGATACTGTCTTCCAAGAGGTACATTTGCAATCATTTGCCTTCCCACGACGATGCGCGAACGTTTTTCACAGACCTTAAACCGTTTATGAAATACTAAAAGGGATTTTGTTGTTGTTCTTTTTCTTGTGTTTTGGGATTTGGTTTTTGGTGAGGTTTTATATTTTTTTCTTCAATTTACAGTTCATCTGCATTAAAATAAAACTTTGTTCAGCATGCCGGCAACCTCCTATTGATTTCTGGGGTTTAAGAGGTGGGTTTTTTTGTTGGTTTGTTTGTTGTTTTTTGTTGTTGTTTTTTTTACTGGAATGTTGTGATGTTGCGGTCAAGGTGATTTCTCTCCATGATAAGCGTTTCCCAACCCCTAGCTGTGCAGTCCTAGCTTGCCGATCCCCTGCTGATTCACCTCCTCGTGTCAACCAACGCTCAGGCACCAGGTTAAACCAGAGAGGCACCTCGCGGGCTTAAGGCTCTCCGAAGGCTCAGCACTGCTGGAGGGGCTCCTGGCGAAGGCTGCGAGGTCGAACATTCTCCCCGGCTGAGGAGGGAGCGTGGCCAGGGATCCCCCTGCGCCTCACGGGCAGTAGAGCGGAGTGCTCCATCCGACCAGGACCACCCCAGCCCGCGGCCGGTAGGGCGCGGCAGGGCGCGGGGTTCGCGGGCGCGGCGGGCGGACCTCGCCCCCTGGTCACCGCGGGGCAGCCGCGGGTCAGGGCAAGCGCTCGGCCTCCACCCGGCAAAAGGGCTTGACAGGAGCTTCCCATCCTCAAAGTGACAGAGGGCGTATCGCCGCTTGCAAGGATTATTCCAGTTCCGAGGTTTCCCGACACAAACCCAAAAGCACTAGTGCCTTTAAAAGAATACAGGCGATAGGGAGCTGCCACTGAGCATTCTTTAAGGTTCAGGCCACAACTCAATCTGACCTAGTTCGAAACATGAAGATTCAGAGTTTAGGTGGAAAAAAAAAAGAAAAAGGCAAAAATATTCTCCCCTTTTATTTCTTTATATATCTGTTAATTTATTTGTTTTCAAAGGAGGCTGTAAATTGTGCTATTTTAGGGTGCACCTTTATTAGGACAGGGTAATGGGGCAAGTTAAGTTTTTCCTCCCAGTGGTGTCTTCCCCTTTGGTAGATCATTTGTGAGTATTACTTTAATGTACTACTAAATGTGGCATCATTAATGTTTGTAAAACTGATTTTATATGTACATTAAAACTGCTAAATGCAGTAGAAAATTAAGTATTCTGAGATCTTAATGCTCCTTACCAGGTTGGAGTTATGTATCTTTCATTCTTATATTCCTTTTGATCTTCAGACATTCCCTTTTTCTTTGACTTAGATTTTTCCAGCCTACCATGTCTTGTTCCTACATTTTATTGCAAATTTCTTCACAGGCATAAAATATATTGGTATTATATTACTTTTCATGAGTACCAAAGTTTTGTGCAATATAGTATGTTAGCAGATCACTTTGCCATAATTTATGTAGAACCCGAATGAAGCACCCATTCTGTATGCTGAGTATTACGCAGTGTTTTTAAAGTTTGTGAAGGCTGGCATGAATTCAGCTTTAGATAGTGTTGCAAAGTTGGTCACATGAGAGCAATTGTAAGAAAATCCATGGGGATGCAAAATCTCATGGAGATAAACAAGAAATAAAAATAAAATCTTTCGAACATTACTTTAGAAATAAAAGTGTATCAGAATTAAAAAAAAATCTCCAAAGATAGTCTGCCATATCTCATAGTATCTATCAACTGAAATAACTTAAGTCTAATATATAGCCAATACTCCACCTATACCCATACAGTAGGAAAGGTGATTTGCATGTCTGGTTGTTTTTTTTTTAGAAATTATTTGTAGTAGTAAATACTCTGCCTTATGTATCACCATCTATTTCTTTTTTGCAAGCTACCATGAAAATATGGCTGAAGTTGGGCATTTATAGATATACATATATGAAATGAAGCTTGTGCAAAGCCTGGGAAAACTGAAACCCAGACAGTTTTAACATGCAAAATACCATCTTATTTTACTTTCACCTTAAGGTCTCAGAGGGCGCACATGGTTCTTTTTTTCAACCCACTTCAATCTTCAGACTTCTGCTTTTCGTGGACTAGTATCTCCAAAGAAAAGCAATGGACATTTTGATATGTAGACTATTTGTAACTACATTGAACAAAACTAGATTGAATTGTCTCATCCCCAAATAAAAGTTATGAGAGAAGACAAATAGAAAATACATGTGAAAGAACACAGCAGGAAACGCTTTGTGAAATTCCTCATGAGTGTTTTTTCCTGGAGTCTAACATCTGCAAGAAACTGAGAAGATGACTCGGCAATCTGTAACCACCTGGAAGGCAAAAAAGAACCATTCCTGCAAAGACAAGGTGCCTGCGAGCAGCTCTGAAGCCCTGATATCTTCACATCATTAATTTGTGTGATGCAGCTTCCTCAGCAAAATCTCTGTATAGCTGTATCTTCCCTATTCACACTGGTCAAAGCTAAATATTCTAAGGAAGACGAAAAGCACTGGCTTGAAAAATTACAAACATCTAGTATTAATATACTTTCCCAATAATCATATCCTAAAGCAGACAGTTAAAAAGGTGACAGGGGAAAAGTATGTGGTTTTTCTTCTCTCCAGGTATGAAACACAATCACTCATCATTCAAAGTCTGTGTCTGTATGCTACACATACTAGAAATATACATAACATGAGAGAAATTAAGAATTGCACACAAACACAAATTAGCTTCCTTACAAAATGAGAGAAATTTATATCTTTGGAGCTGTTTCCTACCTTTGGATCACAAGGTGCCTAAAAATGCATTTGCTGAAATAATAATTTCAAATGGTGTACACACCCCAAGAGCCAAGCATCTCGTGTCATAATGGGAATTTTTCGTGGGAAAGGACTGTAGCTCAGGGAGCATGACAGAATGTATTATTGAGAAAAAATGTGATTTTATTATAGGACATTCATATTTATGTATTAACTATGTTAATTCATAGGACAACAACAACCGTATCTCCAAGTGTGTGTACTTTAAAATATTTTGTTAACACCACTTGTATCTGGTAGTATTTTTGTTAAAAATAAAGTTTAAAAAGAAAAAAAATATTTCAAACTAAGATGTAATACAAGATGGTTTTGTCTTTTTTCTTTTGATCAAGGCACTAAATGAGTCTTTGAATCCCTATTATTGAGAAAGTATTTTTTTCTTGTATGACTGAATGCCATTATATTTCTTTGTTATTCCTGACCTTTTATGTGGTAAAAGTCTCACACTGCACTTAAGAATTGCATCTGGTTTTAATAACATGAGGTGAAAATCTTGAACATTCAAACTGTAAAGCCTGGGTTAGAGTGTTTGTATTTGACAGACTAAATGTATTGTGTCCCTCTTCCTACAAGTCTTGTTTAGGCACCTTTATTCGAACTTAGAACTGCTATCTCTTGTTATTTCACTACAGCAACAAATATTAGCTAAGGAACAAAACTCTTCACCGTGATTCTACAGAACGTGCTTAGCTCTGGCTGGGCACCTACTTAATTCTAGCTGAGGAGACAAAAAAAGGGAAAACCAGCTTTGTGTCTTTGGGTCAAAGTAGATTTCCAACTGCCAGAGATCAACCTGAGAATAAATATGAAGGGCTGTGTATCCAACATCAATATATGTTTGCATATTATTATTCCTTTCACTGAAACAGCTGGTGTTAGATTTGAAAGCATGTCCAACTGGACCATGTGTCTGACCAGTATATCAATACCAATGTTCATGTAGGCCTTGGGACAGTTCCAGGGATTTCAGCTTGCATTGAGACATGCCTTGAAGTTTTGTCAGACTGTAGTCCATTAGGGAGTTAGATTGTGTTCTGCACTACAGCACGTAAAGCATGATTTTTGCCATTGAATTTAGTGAGGAAAGGATTGGTCTCCAAATGAGTAACCTCATCTCTGTTCTCAAGCAGAGGACCTAGTAAGAGCTTGACAAGTGTTTCATTAATCCACCCACTGATATTTTAGTTGAGTTTCTTGTGCACTTGG